GTTCTTTAATTTGCCTTGAAAGCATAAAACAAATTGCAATTTAGTTTAAATGCATTTCATAATACAAGTACTGAGATTGCAATTATTTACAGCTTTTACACCATGGGGGAGGTGATTTTCAGTCTGCAGTTAAACATTATGTTGGTGATTATACGCAGACTACAAAAATTTACGATATTTGTCACCTTCATGTATATCTTGCGCATATGGAAATGTTCTCTGATGGATGCATTTAGAAAAACATACCTGGGAGAAATGTTACGTACGTTTTTTAAATCACACTCACGTGTCGTGTATTGCAAAGTTACTGCTTTCTGACCAATTGTTATTACTTTCTTTTAGATTTAACGCAAGATTTAATTGGGTTCATGATGTTAACCCGCCAGGTAGTGGTTGCTGCTGACGTTTACAAACGCCAACTACCTGTAATTAACAGCAATAAAGAAAAAAAACTGCTGTGTTGCTCGAGCTCAGTGACATTTAGAAATTAGTGTCAGTTGGTCTGGAATTTTGCTTTACTATTTTTAAGGTACATTTCCAACCATCAGTCACCTCATGGCAATTTGACAATCATTTTTATTTTCCTTGAGACGAAAAGCAATTATCAAAAATACATGTGTGTAATTAAAAGATAATTTTAATTTGTAAAATGTTATTACCACAGTTGATAAAGTCAGTGCACAAAGGCAAAATACATGTGTACCAAAAATGTACTGTATTTTGTGGTTCTTCTAGAGACTGAGAGATTTGCATGAAAATATGAATTTTCATACCATTCCTAGATATTTACTGTAGATGAGTACATAACTCAAATTTAAATACCGCTACATAATATTTCAATTCAATTTTAATTTTAAAAAAAACTGTATTCACATCCAATATCTTGTATGGTAATACCAGAAGGAATCACTTCATTGGAAGCATGTAAACCAACAATGGGAACATAATATTCTTATAATGATATTTAAATACTTATCGGGCAGTGTTCCAATATAACAATTTTTTACGAATTAATTGATGCCTATCATAACACAAATACAAGATGTAAATTGAAAAACACTTTGGTCCTGCCAAAAAGGTGAAATGATTTTGGAAAAAGAACTTTTAAATATCACTCAGTAAAATTATGGAACAATCTATCATCAGATATTCATAGCAATATTCATTCTCTTTCCTTACAATCCTTTAAAAACCTCATTTAATTTTACCCATTTGTTTTTCTTTTCTGTTCCTTGTATTTATATATGTAATTTATATATTTTTATATACATTTTTTCTTTCAATTTTGTTTGTTTTCATTTAATGTAGTTTAAGATCATACCTCAGGGAAAAAATACTGACTGAGTATCCAGAATAAAGAAAGACATCTATCTATCCGTCTGTCTGTCTGTCTATTGTCATCATCATTATCCTCATGAATTGAAAAATATGTTCCATGAACTGTACAAGAACAGTCCACTTGACTATTCCACTATCTATACTTTATGAGGGGTTACCACTTCTTGACTCGGGGCAGCGTCGTTTTCTGTCGCAGTCTAACGGCAGTAGACCTGAGGCAGTAGGCCAAAGCAGAAACTGCTGTTACATCGAATTTGCCAGTGTGTTTCTAGCGTATGCGCACTAGTGAAAACGACGCTGCCTCAACATCGGTTGTTGGAGCCCCCCTCTTGTAGAACCAATCCAAATTATATACACTTTTGGCAATTTCAAAATCATTTACCAGTCAGATATATATCTTTTTTAATTATTAACACTTATATTACTTGCAATCGATGACGCACACTGATGCATATACCCTAGTGGGGTCCTCTGTCAGTATTGATTCAGATTCAGATAATCAGACACAGATTTTCTTAAATATTAATACAGGGAAATTTAATCAAAATATTCCCTTTACTGTAATCACAAAACGACAACAATTTAGACATCAACAACAGTTTAAATTCAATACCTGTTACATTTTTTTTTTTTACATTTTAAATACATTACTTCTTTGGACAGAGAATGTATTTCTACGACTTAATGTCCCAGTCCTTATTACTGGTCTTGTACCAATATTAGTATGGATGGTTCTCAATGTATTAATATTGGTAAAACCTGTTAAGTTTCAAAGTAAAGACTTCATTGGACTAAATCCAAAATTTAATAATTACCAACTTGAATTAATTTCACAAATTTTAAATTAAAGCGACTCTAATCTTAAAAGTTTTACTCTATGGTAAATAGAACTGTGTAAATGTCTCAGTTGAAATACACTGATAGAATAAAGAAAATTACTATTTTCCTAATAATACTCTACTGTTATTTAAAATGCTGTTTGAAAGTTGTCAAAACAACAAACTCAAATATATTTTTTAATCTAATTTTAATGAAGACGGATAAGCGTTAAAAAATATTTTTTTTTTATGTATCTGTTTTTAGAATGTAATGGAAAAAGTGACCTTTTACTGTATCCCTTTTTTTTTTAGTGTAATGCTTACTTATTTTATTATTTATATGTCAGAAATGTTTTATTTCTAGTTTGATACTGCATTTTGATGTGGTGTTATTTAAATGAATGTTTCCATACATTAAAGTATTTTATCTCTCGGTTTTGGAGGTTTTTAAATAATGAAGTTGAAATGTTCAAAGCTTGAATGTGGTAATCCATCCTTTTTTAGTAGGCCTACTACCCCAGGGTCAGTTACTTTTTAGTACCTCAATTAACAATAAAACAATAAAGAGGATATGCCGTTGTAGTACGATTTGTATACCGTATTGGTATAAAACTTTTATGTTATGCTAACTGCAGTTTTATTTAGGCAACAATCTGATGTGTTTACTATAAAATTTGAGTATATTGTATTAAGTTCATTTCCATTAATTTATGGTAATAAGGAGCATACTTGACTATGTCTTATTAAATAAATATTAAAACTAGACTGACCCCAAAATGAATTTGCAACCAACCAACACAACACATAAAACAAACATGATTCTCTTCCTTCGGCTGTGGATCAAGCAATCTTCAGAATTTCGCACAAAATGTTATTAAATTTAAACGGCTTAATTTTTAAAACCAATACATTAGATACCGATACACACACTGCATATTACTTACCGTAGGCTATTTACTTAGGAGTACTAAGTAGAACTAAGCTAGGCCTTGCCTAACTAAGGCGACCACAGCAGTTGTTCATTCATCAACATCTAGCCTCCTCGGCAAGGTCCTTCCCTCCTCCGTCACCTGGTCCTGCCTAGAGAAATGTTTTCGAGTGTAAAACAAGCGCGGAATATTCACCTAACTTACTAGGCCTACTTCATTTCAATCTCAATTTCATCGGATATTCTTAAAATGTAATAATCTTCATCTGTCTATCACTGTTTTTCCACAACAGTGCTGCTGCCGAAATGCTGAGCAGCCCGTGTTTTGTTTGATCCACACTCCGAAATGGCAGGGGAAATGGAGCGTGAAGGCTAATATTACGCATGCGTCATTCTGTTGCACATTTTTTTGTGTTCAACAAACAATACTGTACCTACGAATACGAATACATGTTTTGGCCATAAAATCATAGGTTGGATGATTATTTAAAAATGCATGTTTGAAAAGATTAAACAAAAAAAGTACTCATTTGATATGATCTGCTTCCAACCTACTTTGTATAGTATAAAATGAGTACGAATGCACAAAGTAGAGTCACGTGTGTTATCGCTGAGGAAGAGCACAAGCGTGCTCGAAATAATAAAAAATTATCTTATGTCTATTATGTCAACGTATACGAC